TACATGTTTATGAATATTTATATATATTAATGTACACATATTTATGCGTGATGAAAGAACGAGAGAAGTAACATTTTAATATTAAAAAAATATTTTAAACTTTTACTTCAGACTTTTACTTAAATTATACAAATAAATATAATCTATATATATTGTTTTTAATATTTTAACGATAGGTTCTTAGAAAATATATGATGTCTCGAAGCCTTAAGTAAAAAAGATTATAATTTCAGAAAGTTCAAAAGCGTTCTGTATCGTCGATATATTGCATAGAAAGCACATTGGAATGCAAGGATCGTAACCATAGAAGTATACGTATTGTTGGATCGTTAGATGTATCACATATACTCTGGATAATTCTGCGAAAAGAAGACCGTAAAATCGTCTAAGAAGTCTGATGCCCGTTTCTACTAATGTAAATTAACTTAATCTCGGTTCAGCTTACTCTTCATCTTTTTCTTATTCTTAAAACTAAAAAACGATGAAGAGTTAATTGAACTGAGATTAAAATTAAACTGTATTGATAGAAGCGAGCATCAGAGAGAGAAAGGATCATGAGCGAGCAAGAAGACGCGATTTCAATAACTCGAATGGAGAAACTTTTGACAAGCGTTACTAACAGGATAAAGGAATCGGTAATTTTGCAAAATTTATATTCGATTTAAACAAATAAATTTCTTTGTTTTCTTAACAGATATTAATTTTTTCTTTTATGTTTTTCTGTTTGAAAAAGTGTTCATTCTATATACCTCTCAAAATTTTTCTTAATTAATTATTATTTAATTTTATTTAATATTTATTTCAGTAACTTCACTCGATTCCAAACTTTATATTTCATGTGTCGTACCACAAGCTTTTCAAACGCACTGATTGGCTGTTGGATAGAGAGAATTTCCGAAGTTCCAATAATTTTTCTCCGATCAGCCAATCGGCGAACTCTGAAAAAGAACCACTTTTATCAATGTGATAACGCGTTAATTTCGCGCTAAAAATCGCCATGTTGCATTCGTAAAATTAAAACAGTTTCAAAATTATCCGTTCTATAACAATTGAATGTTGAATGTTAAGTAAAAAATTATCTTGATCGAATCATTCTTTATTATTACTTAATAGATTGAAAAATGTGGAGTGGATGATTCGCCATTGCTTCAAGAGATCATCGATCTCATCGAGCTCTTAAAAAAATTCGTTATATCCCGCATGAAGAGAACTCCCAATGTAGAATCCATGCACGCTATCAATTTGCACGATTGCCGGACAAAAATAGCGGAAGTTTTGGCGGAATTCGAAGGTAAATTTAATGAAGAAAAATTCTATTGTTATTAAATAGTACATACGTATTATTTTGGATACAGATTAAAGTATCAATTATCATGGCAGCTTTGCAGGAGGTATCTGAAGAACAAAACTCGAGCTGTGAAATTTTTCTGAGGGATATTGTTACCTGCGTAAATGACGAGGAAGAAATAATGCGAAGCATCAAGGAAACGTCAGAAGTAGAGATACCAAAAGAAATGTACTGAGAAATGTATTATTTATTGAAATAAAATTTATCTCGTTTTGTTTGTATTATTTTAATTTTTTAACAAATTTTATTTTTATTTGTAGAGAGGAATCAATGCGGGAAATGATGAATGTAAGGGAACGAGAGGAAACACGAAGGAAAATACTACAGTCTGAAATAGATTCAGCAGAGCGTAGATTGCACAACATTATAGAATTCAATGCAACATCTGAGAAAAAGCTTTTTGATATATGGTAAATGTGGAACAATTTCCGTAAAAAGATCCATTTAATTAGAGAATATCTGTTATCATCCAGAAGAAGTAATTGTTCAATTTGATTAATTTTATATTTCAGTGCAAACATTGAACAACAATATATTGCGCTTCTTGCTAAATACGATTGCGACATCGGCGCGTCTCATGCGTTAACAGAAGAACTATCAAAAAACAATGAAATTATTAAAGGAAAAATTAAAGAAATGGAGGTTTGTAGTATATTTAATCTAAAATTTAATATATATTTTTATGTACAATTAATATATATTTGTATGTACAATTTTTCTGAATTGTCATTAATTTTTCATTAGGATCAGCTGGCCGTGCAACGGGAACTGTATGTTCAATTCAAGAAGGAGCGAGAAATCGCGCTAATGATAGCTTTCACTGAACAACTGGATTTGCTTAGGCGCAACCGAGCCGCTAAGATTATCCAAAGAGCATGGAAAGCGTACTTTGAACGTATTTCTTTAAAGAAACGGCGAAAAACGAAGAGAAAATAAACAAAAATAAGACAATTCCATCAGTTTTACATTTGAACAAACAAATGATATCACCTTAATAGCACAGACCTTCAGATGCGGGATCTCCGTATGTCCTTTGAACATTCTGATAACATGCCAGGATATAGTGCTATTAAAGTAATTCGTTAATATATGCACGAGAAAACAAAGCACCGAAAATAATATTTTTTTATGAATATGCTAAGATACATAATTTAAACTACTGTAATGGGGAAACTAGAAAAAAGGAGCAAGTGGCATTACATTAGCTTATTTTATTCACTGAGTTGACAAAGCATAGCTACTCCTCTTATAATCCAGTGTTCAGATGGCTTCTCCGTGGGCAACAGTATAGCTATAACGAAGTTCGTAGAGTGACCAGTAGTGGATAATACCCCACGGCGTTCAGTGGTTTTATATAGCGGACAAACATACGATTGTCTTTCTTTGATATCTTGCTTCTTCATTGGTATCAGCCACAGCTGGAATTGTAGCGAAAAGGTAAGTTTTGTCATTGATCTATGAATACATGTCTTTCTTGGGAGATAAATTTACTTACAAAAGGTACGTTATCGTAAAGTACTTTGGGAAAGCTCTCCTCTATACACATTTTCTTTATATCAAATCTTGCACTGTCCAAAAATAACCCATAAATGTAAACGCCATCCTCGGGGGTAATCGTAAAGACAGTTTCTTTCAGGATTACGAAGTCAAATGTAAGAAGATCTATAGGGATCTGATACTTTCGCGCGTAATTTTGCAGTGTCCCAGTTAGAAACGCTTGCGTAAAATAAAACCCAGACAACCAGAATGTAACGGGTGGTCCCTCCTCATACCATTGCTGTATAAAACAAATTCATGTTTTAAAATAGTTCAAGATTAATTAAAAGAATAAAACGCTAATATACAGAGAATTACTTGTAAAAATATTAAACGTTGTAGAAAATCATTGATATAACTGCCCAAAGGTTTTAAGGAGGGGTAAGAATTTGTTTTCCACAAAAGAGGTAACTTGCTTGTCAAGATTGCTCCGTAAATATCTTCAAGCTCAAAAGACATTATGATCAAACCTGCGGTATTACAGTATTACGATAATATAATTCCTAAGATGCTGTTAATTTTTTTTTTTTCAATTTTTATCATAATACTTTTATTATATATACATATAAATAAAATATGAAAGATTGATAGTCTAAGTTAATTGACAATATTTCACGTGTATGAATTTTTTTTAAACTGATATATACCTTTAATAGCTTTTCGTACATTAATAAGACTACTCCTGATACAGCTTAATAATTTGTTAAATCTGTCCATCTCTTGCACTAGCACAGTGTTCATGCTTTGACTGTATAATGTAGGATATTTAGCAAGTGCTGCAATGAGATCGTAACCCTCTGGAAGCTTATCCAAGATATCTGTCGCAACATCATAAACTATATCATCGTCAGAAGTTTGTCTCAAACCGGATTTAACAGCTTCCTAGGAGAAAAGATAATAAAACGTTTCTTATCTACTCAAGTCGTTTAGTCCATTTAGTTTAAGATTCCACCTCAAGCTCAGAGAGAATCAAATCAAGATTTATTAAAGTTACATGCGTATAATGTAAGATCGTAATCTCAAAAAGCGATATATAACATACCTCATTAATTTTCCAAAGATCCTGAGATCGAGCAATAAAAACAAATAATGATAAAAAATACATATTTAATATTTTATGATTGTATAAAATTAATTAGCGATTAGTATAATTGTTATAAATTAAAATTCTATTATTTTTTCTGATAATATCTTGATTACATACCGTTCGATCCTGAATAAAGTTTGATAAAATAAAAAAAGTAATTATAATACATACGATACATAATATAATTATTTTCACGAAAAATTAAATAAAAATTACCTGAGTGAGCAATAATGAAGAGAATAACAGATCTGTCTCTCGTTGATCTTTAAGTATGTCGGCATTTTCATGCATGCCAAATACACTTGGTTCTGTAATTATCGGAAGTGTTCTAATATATGCGATATATGCTTCGTATTCTTTAGCGATCGGACAATAATAACTAGTAGACGATGCGTCAAAGTAGTATATTTCATCAGTCAATAGTTTCCTAAGTAAGGACATAAGTAATAATTTCTTAATTGATTAAAATTACACAATTTGTTAATACTCACGGACAATAGAATTTTGATAGAATAGTATTCAGTGTTCTACGGTCCCACTCGTCTGTAACTCTACCTCCATAGTTACATTCACCCGTGAGGTACAGCAAAGCATCAAACTGCACGTCCTCATACTCATCCAGAAACATCTTCAATTGCAAAGCGCTGATCCTCAGATCTGTCTCATTATATTCGTATGGAATGTTCCAGCCAATCGGGCCAAATTTCCGTCTCTCTTGTACGATAGCATGGAAGAAGCTCAATGAGTACAGTAGCTTTTTGAAGTACTCGCTTTGAATGCAGCCTTCGAAGAATTCTATATTACTGATTGGATCACTCGAGTAGGATCTCAAAATATTGGCCCTGAGTCCTTTGGGTGGTTCATTCGTAATCTTGATACCGTTCTGAAGGACCGTTATGGGAAAATGCTCTGCTGGATAACTGGTTAACCATAGCCGGAAGTCAGGATGAATCGCATCGGGTGTCAGACCCTCGCATATCTTTTCTAAAGTCGGCATCCAGCTCTTGGCCAGGTGACAATTTTGCAATACTACCCAATTACCAAACCACACACCGTTTCTTATTAATTTCTCCGCTATAGGTCCTTGACCTGAGGCAATGACACGGTTAGTTTTATACGATAAATTTTCATACAGTAAATACTTACCTTGGCCAAGAGACAAAGAGAAAAGACGGTCGACACCATAGCCTTGCTCGTCGGCAAATGTCAACAAGGTTTGCGTCGGATCGGCACCGGGAGTTAGGACGAATATCAATGGAATACTACAGTTGGAATCCGCAAAACAAGATACTAAGTCGAAAGGTGGTGCTTCTACGTATTGCGGGCCCATTTGTTCTACAATACGAATAATTGCAGTAATCAATGATGTCTGTTTAATTCATTCGATTTTGATACTCGCTTGTAAACATATTTTTTACCTTCCACGAGCAATTGCACCGCTGGGATAATTTTATCGGGACGGATACAACGCAAAATTAATAATCGTTCGAATAAATTTAATTTGTCATATGGCGCTGGGAAAGTTTCTTTCTGCGGTTCTTTCGAGTCGAATACTTTCTTCCAGTTGTCAACTGCATTGGAGAATGCGTCTTTGATGCCCTACGGAAAATTGATAAATATAATCTATAAATATCGATTTTCTAATCGATTATACAAAAATTTACTTCGAATCCTTTAATAGTATCCAATCTGCACATTTCATCCCAATATTTTACGAGCAGCCACTCGGCAGGATTAGGATACGGGTTTTCCAAACCCATTCCACCAGTTAATAAAAAAAGCCATTGGCTCATGCTTTCCGATGTAACGCTCGTCTCAAGCAGATTGAAAACGAGAAGTAACGTGAATAATAATTTATCCTTAGCAAATAAAGATCTGCAGATATTGACGTAAAGGGAATATGTAAAGTATTTGGTCAAGTCTTTCAGACGTTGTTTAATATTATCGGTCGGCTCCGTATGATCGATAGCCATGTTGAAAAGATTCACAAACCATAACAATGAATATTGATACATTGGATCTATGTTAGCTAGAGATGCTGCGAAAAAATTAATCCGGTTAAAATATTCAATTTAAAGACTTTTCTTGGTACTATTGATGTTGCACGATTTATTTACCTATTGTGAAGAAAAGTATAGTCGAATAAGTCGCAATGGGTTTGTACTGCATTCTCGCGGCATCGATCGACTTTTCCGTAGCTTCCGTGGCCGCTTGCTTTATCTGAATATCGTCACACAAATGTTTAGACATCATTAAAATGTCAATAGCTTCCTCGTCTTCTAAAATGTTACCTTTTGCCACGGAAAGTACCTCCAGGATTTTGTCTTCTGTCTCTTTCAACATTCTGTCAGATAAAGTAAAAAATTATATAAGTAAATCATGTGAAATAGAGGAGTATAATGTATATTAAAGAACATACTTTTTGTTTTCAGCACTCTGCATGATTAAAAAATTTTTTTCTGATTCCAAATCGGGTCTTTCCTTCGCAACTACAATTCCAAGCAACTGATCCTCCAGACCGCTCGGTGTTATCATAAAATTCAGCAGAGTTACTTTTACAGCTATTTCCGGCATATAATGAGGATTTCTTAATTTTGTCGTAATATAAAGCCTATGTATCAATATGATCAGTTATATTATGTTGAAAAATATCTCAAGTTTTTTAATTATGTTTTCTTGTCTAAATCAATGTGTTAAGACAAAATCGTGATGAAACAATTTATAAAAACGAAATTATTTCTAATAAAATAAAATTAGTAACAAATCGTTTTGCTATCCATATATGCCATATAACAAGCAATAAAATTTGTTAATAAACATATATTGCATCAATGAGTTTGTTAATATAAAATTAAAAATGCAGCAGTTTGTATAATTCAAGAGTACCTAAAATTATTGTTATATTCTATTACAGCGTCGCCTAATTTTATGCACCATGCACCAGCATGCTTGAATATCTGTTTAAGAAGTATCGGTTCAAGAATGGCATCTAACTCTTCTTCTATGTTTTCTAACAACACTGGCAGTCCAAATTGTAGCGCATTTTCTAAAACCCTGACGTAATCAAGTTGGCTTAATCGAATAATGCTCATATTATTCTTCCTTTCCATGTTTCTTATCCATTTGTTAGCTTGGCCTTGTGGATCTATCATCAATGGCCATCTTCTGGCATTTCTAAAAAAATATTAGCATTACGTAACATTATATGTTACTGAGATGACAATTTACTTACGTAACGATAATTCCATTGTCGATAGAAAATGCATCGGCGGGCAATCCGGCGATGTTCCACGATCTGATCAAAACTGGATCGCCAAGTATATCGCGCAGATAGAAATTATAACTGCAAATTACTTGCATATTCGTGCACAATTGCACCCACTCGTTTATCTGCTGCACGCGAAACGGCATAGTGAATGGACCTAAGTAAGCCACTACACCGGAAGCAATTAACACGTCTCCCGTTAGCCGATAATATCTACAGAAAGTAGAAAAAATCAAATTAATGTGAATTTACCGTAATGTACATTCACAATAATTAAAAGAAAATTTGCAATAATTATTATATAAATAAAGATCCACTTCAAACAAGTCTTACTTGTCGCCTAGATCCTGAGCAGTTTCGGACCATCGTGCATATTCTCCGCCTAATCCTCCGATGAGATCTGCGGCTCGCTTCAATTTCAGCTCACAATCCGCCACCTGGTCCGACATCGTTTGAAACTCCATTTTTCTTTTGTTTAGAATTTCTTGAAGATCCAACAATTTTTGCTAATAGTAGATTTTTTTTTTAATTAAATTTGTTAAATATATTTATATATAAATGTACTGTTATTGTTTTAGAAATTGAATTTGATTATCATTTTGTATTACTTTTGTTGATATTCGCAATGCGTACCTGTACTTGGCGCAATTGTTCTCTCTTCATATTTAATTTTTCCATAGCATCATAATAGATAGCTTCAGCTTGCGCAAGGGCTCGTTTCTTAGGAGCGACGATTTTTGCGATTATGTCGTACTCAGACATTGCAATGACCCAACGGCATAATCCTTCGCAAGCCGTTGACACTCTTTTGACTTTCTCCGGATCAAACTCCGATCTGGGCAGATACTCTTTCCGTATTGTTTCGATTACTTTATCCGGTATGTTATCCTTATCGAACTGAAGTAGCGAGTCTAAAAATTTAACATCGCTGAGCATCCTTAAGGCGGCCCTCCAGTAATCATCAATTTGCGTACCCTCCTTTGTCTGTACTTTCTCTGGTTTTATTTGCTGTAATAATTCATTGAAATTGCAACAATGTATAAGCAATAAAATAAAAAAATCTGAATCATTATTATGCCAGATCTTTTGCGAATGGCAATATATATAGTATTGTTCATTGCACAATTGTCTTATACCTTAAGGACGCAAACGCTTTCCACGATAAGCTTCACGCCATAAGGCGGATGCTTCATTGCTTTCACTATTGCGATATCTGCCAATGTTAATGTGTCTAACGCTGCTTGGGCTCGATTTAAGATAGGCATAGCTTCAGCTAAATCAGCATCGCATTCGGCTCTTATCACATCTGCTTCATTTGCGACTACCTACATGATAATAACTTTATAGAAGCATAGTGTCGTTAAACTTGTGTTTCATGTTTAATGTCAATAATATATTAGGTTGTTTGGAAAGTAATTTCGTTTTTTCCCAACAAAGGACTTATTGTATTTTTTCACAGCCAACTTCACACTTAAGCCGCATAATCATTATATATTTTGACAGCTGAAATAGCAAGGCTTGCTTGTGAAAAAAAGTTCGATTGATTCTACGCAGTAGTTTTTGGTTGGTGCCCTATCAAATATGAAAGTGAAAAGCAGCATTTTCGGCATATTTTACTTTTTTACTATCGAAAAGGTAAAAATGCTGTTCAAGCAAGAAAAAAATTATCCGATGTGTATGGAGAAGATGTATTGACAGAACGCCAGTGCCAAAACTGGTTTGCAAAATTTCGATCCGGCAATTTTGATGTTGAAGATGCACCACGTTGTGGAAGGCCAGTTGAAGCTGATGAAGACACAATAAAGGCATTAATTGATGCAAACCGGCGAATAACAACTCGTGAGATCGCTGAGAGATTAAATTTATCGAATTCGACCGTTCATGATCATTTGAAACGCGTCTGATTGAAAATCGTCTTTCATTTTCATAAGAAAAAACGAAATTACTTTCCGAACAACCTAATATTATTGTTCTAACAATATAATGTATTGATATTTAATTTTTCGTTAAAATATTAATGTATTATATTGTTAACACAATAATATGTCAGTAATCGATAGGGATCTCACTTCAGCCGCGGCTTCGTCGACTTTGACTACTTTCTCAAACTCAACGACTTCCTGATTTTCTTTCTCAACGGTAGCCAATATTCGCTGGATATCCTGCGTAGCTGCAATCAATTGTGGTTGCAACAGCTTCAACATATTCTGCATCTCTGTTACTTGATTCTGCGTGCTATCCAATTGTCCTAATCCACCTTCATACCGAGCCTTAGCGTGCAGCACTTCTCTGTAACATTATAAAAAATTAAACGGAAAATTATGAAGCTTGACGAAGTCTTACTTACCCACGCTTTTTATCGAGTAAAGTCTGAAATGTCTTGATCATTTCGAGATAAGATGTAGGCGTCACATAATTGCGTCTATTCAAACGAATTAAGAATTCGTCACTTAATTGTTGAGTGGATACATGAAAGAATTGACACATATCAATACCGACACTTCTTTCGTGTTCAGTAAGTTCAACGGGAGCCAAGAATTTCGTCGCGACAGCGAACAATGCATCTTTAGGCCATGGCTTGAACGATGATATTAAGGATATAACATTATTTTTATATACATATTTTTTTTTAAACAACAATGATAAAATCTAATGATTTTATTTTAATACCTGAAACCAATCTATGGTGCAACAGTTAACTAAAGCCGGAAATTTCCTAATTCGATTTCTAAAAGCGTCACCGATGGGAGACATAGTGACAACAATATGTAATTGATCGCGACAGATTTGTACGAATAGATTAAAAAGCGCCGCAGGGCTACCATCTGTTTGAAATGCTCGTTCTCGTTGTCGATCAATTATTCTCATCTTCTCGCATATTTCGGCCTTTTCATCAGCCACGAATATATTAGGCACCTAAATAAAGATCAAAATTGTTGAATTTTTTCACGTTGTTAAATTTTGTTTAGCGAACAAAAAGATATATATAAACAAAATGGCGAATAAAGATAAATAAACCGATATGTTATTTACTTCTCCTAAATTAAGCATATTGCTGATATCTTCCAAGAAGGTTTCTTCTTTAATTTGCGTATCGCTGAAGAGAAAAGTCGAATGCAATTCGGTAGCAGTGACTTTCCTCAAAATAATTTTAATATCCTCGTGCCATTCATGCTGGCCATATTGTTGCGTAAGTTCAATTTGAAACACGTCGTAGTCGCTAATGTGTGACGCCAATCTGGTTAAAGATTGTCTTCCAGATCCACCGACTCCAATGAGGAGAGCATGACTTCGTGGTTGCTTGATGATACGAGCTATCCTCGATAGATGTTCGATTGCGAACCTTCATATTACATAGAATTTAGCATAAGATTGAGTATTATAATTGCAAGTATTACATTTATCAAATATAAAACAGATTTACCGGAACATTACCAGATCCATAGGCTTCTTTGTCATTGAATTATACTCAGCAACATATGTTTCCACAATCTCTCGTAATTGTTCTAAATCGCTAATTTCTTGGTACAAACGAATGTCTACCTTAGCATCCATAAAATCGCAATATATCAAATTTCGTAATTCATTTATGGTTATGATCTACAGAAAATATACAAAAATGTGAGATGTCAAAGCACAATTTTCTTTTTTAGCTTTTTTAGCTAATGGAAGGATAAAATTTTACTGTTCTATATTGAATCTTCTGTGGAAGTAGATCTTCGAAGAGACTTTCTAACGAGACTTTCATATGTTTCTGCAGTGTCACTCTTATTTGCTTTACCAGCCAATTGATATCAGTTTCGTCAACGGAACGATCTCCAAATACACGAAGTATCTCGTGAACCCATAATCGTTTCATATTTGATAGTGCAGGCATAGTTTCTGGAACTGATAAAAGCACTCCCTGCGTAATAATTGTAATAATTAATAAAGAAATTTTCTCCAAAATATTGATAATAATAGAGTGAATAATAAGATGTTGGACAACCTGAATAACTCTGGAGAAATCTCGAAGATTAAACATGTAATGACATTTCGCAGGTATCGGTAACAGATTGCTCAAGCTCTGTTTATATATATCTAGCGTTGCTAAAACAATTTGATCAATGCATGGATCAAATTCTTTACTAAAACCCCTGCAATATGAGACAGAAACAATATAATAAAGAAACATGTACTATATATATTATAGATTTTCAAAATAAGATATTTACGGAATAAATTTAAAATATATTTTGTGAATATTTTTATAAATCTTAAATATTTTTAAATTTATAGACCTTGTATCGAGATGCCACAGAACAATCTTACTAAATATCGCAATCATAACGTCATCCTGGAATTCAGATATTGCCAAAACGACAAAGTGTCGTTTGAATCGCGGCGTAACATCTTTGCCTATGATTGGCGGAGACATAGCACACATTAATTGGATCTCAATCAATTTTATTAATTCTTCTTTTCTATCATACCTGCCAATAGGAAATTAATAAAAATTACAAATCTTTTTTATTAAAATTAAATTTAACACTATTTAAGCAATACTCAAACATGTAATAACTTTATTACAAAATTATAAGTTAAAATTAAAAAAATCAGATAATGTCAATAAGGTAAATGTTCCAGAAGTGATACCAGACATATATCCGGGCATTTATACAAAATCTTATTTGTTTATATTATTATTAATCTTAAATGCTATTTAAAATAATCTTTATATATAATCTATAATTAGATATAATATTGTAATAGAAAAACATTTGAAATTAATAATAATAAATCTTATGTAAGTGTTCAGACATAGGTACATGTCCGGTCACTGGGACGTTTATCTTAAGTGATAAACAATTCAGGATTTACCATTGCCAGTGATCCAACCATTGCCGTAATAATTCTATGGGCGGTTGTGCCCCAAACGTCTCTTTCAATGGCATTGAAACGTCATCAACAAAGATAATCCATCGCTTCCCTACAGGAGGACCATAAACGCCCTTTCGCCTGCGATCTAATTTACTCATAATAATATCTTGCGTCTGATTAGCAGTGGTTTGCGCGGAAAAATTAATCAACATTGGCTTATTCACTTCGGCATTGTTCTTCTTCAATAGGAAGTCGATTATGTATACCGACTTTCCGGTGCCTGTTGGACCTACAAAGAGTACCGGTTTCTCGTTTTGTACCAACATCTGAAAGAGTGCCGTGTACCGTATTGTTTCTATGGTTGGCACAATTATTTGATTGACAGGGATATCACGGGGAATCGGGGGCGCCAGTAATAGCTCGTCCGACCATAATTTCCATTTTCCTTTGCCCTAATAAAAAAAAAAAATAACACAAATTTAGCAAGATGTAATTTAGTGAAATAAAACATCTTCTTGAAAGATAAAAATATTTTTTACCTAGATATCAAAATTAGATAAATTTTTGCAAGTTTACCTCTTTAATAAATCTGTAATCAAATACCAGCTTATACTTTGGTATGATAAATATATAGGGTTTTAAAGGTGGTGGAACCGGTTCTTCTAACTGATATATTTTCATTAGCGTCTGAGGAAATTCTTTCTCCAAAAGCCCACGAAATAAAATGCTAAATGATTCCTTAGACTTGGCTTCCAAAGTGCCGCCCATCGCCCAGATGCACGAAAAGAAAAACGAACCCTATATAAATATTTATAAAGTTATTTCGTTATGACTTACAACATTTTATTAACTATTTGATTATCTGATTCCGACTTCTAGCTGTGCCCGAAGATCGAGTTCGCTTAAATTTTTTACTACTTCTTCATCGTAATAATCTTTCAAGAAACAATCCATGATATAAGTAACAGATCGTAAAAGGTTTGAATCAGGCATCGGACATATTTCCTGCAAAGTAATAAATACAAGTGTATGAACAATACTTGTAATACGTAGTTTTATTTATATCAAAAATAAATCTTCTACCTTTACGTTATATCGGCGTAATAGGTGAAGAAGAGGTTTACAAAATCTGAGGAATAGCGATTCGTACAAAAAGACTCGTAGCCATTCATCTATCACTTCTGGCAATTTGACTAACCAAGAATTTAATAAAGGCTCCCATCCTAATGATTCAGGCTCCATATAAATCATTCCTGTTTTGAACAATTCGTTGATCATCTAATTCCAGATTTCAAGCTTGCTTATTGCTTATTGCAAAAGATCCCATTAAAGATCTCATTTACCGCAACGAGATACCGTGGCCGGTGAAGCAGCTTCTAGATCTAATGGCTCGAATATCAAGTTGGTCGTCGGCGCCAACTGAATGATCTCTCCGCTCATCAAACACAGCTTTTTATTGTCGTCAAGAACAGTATTCATACTTTCTATCCATAGCGAGTCTATCGGACCATCGAAGATTAACCACTTTCGATTGTTGTTTGGCGAAGTTGCAAAAGCTCGATAGCTAATAGCCAGAATACCGTCGTACCATTCGTGAGACGCTGGATCGAATAGCCCATACAATTGTCCAAGAGTTATTGCCTTCGGATTGATCACCGTCATCTCTACTTTGCGCTCGTTTATCCAATTCTATTTAAAATTAACATTAAATTTAATCATTTGATTTAATCATTATATACTGCTATAATTGTGCTGTCATTTTTGGATGGAACTGAAGTAACAATATGTTAGGAACATTTACATTTTCTACGCAAATTTCGAGTGCATCTGCCAGCATTCTGTAGGCCGTAGTCTTGCCAGCGAAGGGATATCCGACGATCATGAATCCATGTCTGACTAACATCATTTCGTATATTTGCTGAATTTTCTCTAGAAACACAGGAACGCACTGGATGTTCGCAGCGGCGCACGCTTTACGCGCGGACGCATTTAAGTGCAGATAGTCCGGTTCAGGAAGTTGCACGTTTGGAAAAAGATCCGAGACGATACCCTAAAATGATATATTCTTGATGATTTATTCCCTTTATTTAAGCATAAATATACAGGCATACGTGAAACAGCGGTATATCTTCATGAAGAAACTTGGGCAAATTCACATCCTTTATACTACGCAAGAGTAAAATGTCCTCGTTTTCTTCTGGATATTTCAATTTCAAATGCCCTGCCGCTATTAGGACAGACTTTACTGCTCGCATACCGTAATCATAATGATTCTGGCTAGACAGTTGCTCTGAGCATAATTTATAAGCCATAACTATTTTAACAGATAAAGGTCTCGCGTTGTAAAATCCATATGAGTACAGAATGTTTTCTGCTATTAAAGCGTAATCCGGTACCTATTAAATATTTTTAAAAATACAACATAATTGTAATAGGAAAATAAAGCATATTTCTTTCAAAATGCAGATTTGATCTCACCATCATAGCGACTGGTCGGAATAAAGCTTTCAAATTGTCTGGCAATTCCGTTCTGCCAGCGTATCCCGGATTCATTGTGGTGAATATCGCGCAAGTACGATCCAGTGTTAATTCTGTGTCCTCGAATATTAATATCTTTTTGCCTGCCTGTATAGCTCGTTGAATAGTTAATATTAGCTGCGCCACTACCGATAAGACTTCTAGATCAATGCGATTGAACTCATCGAAACAAGACCATGCACCTGTACTGGCTAATCCCTGTTGAATTATTTAATATATATTTAGAATAAGAAATAATTTTTTTTCTGTTGCAAAAACGACAGGTTATCTTTTATACTTATATTACTCGGACAAAAAAAAATGTTTTTTTAAACTTCAGCTTGATACAAGACGTCCCATTTTAATCAAACCAATTAATTATCTACGACATTATTGATGATGAAACATTTTTTGTATATCAATAATTTCGAAAAAAATGAACTGGATTGATTTAAAATGGGACATTTTGTATAATTGTTTTTTGTGTAAGCTGCTTTTTTTTCTATAAGCTGTTAGCTTAAATGTTTCCAGTTTGTACTTTGAAAAATTTTCCCAGAGCGATATAATCTAGCCCTTCCGAGCAATTGAATACGACGCATTGCTTGGCAACTGCCTTTGCCAGATCTTTGGTAGTTTCAGTTTTTCCTGTCCCAGCAGGTCCTTCCGGAGCGCCGCCGAGATACTGGCTGAGAGCACCGAACAAGGTACGATAGCATCGATCGGTGAGTGGCGTGATCACTAATCGCGACGTATTGCCCAAGTATTCATATGCATAGGCTAACTGAGAATTTATCATCATCGTATACAAGTTGTCGTCCTATAGAACAAAATCATTTTCATACTAGCGACACTGAATATATATTATATATATTATACGATAACAAATGTAAATGTAAATTATAAATAAACTGAAAAGAATGACTGGGTATTTAAATGTACTCACTATCCAATAATATCTCATTTGGCAACCCCACTTAAAATCTGTGACTTGATTTACATTTTGCTCGCATAATTGCACCAGCACATCCCGACTGTGAACATCTAACGTTACTAGAGCTTCTGCAAATAAAAACAAGAAGAAAAGAATAAGAAAAAGAGAAGAAGAGAGAATTTCTGAATCGTAGTAACTGGAATACTTAATTCTTGCCAAACAAAATACTGACCCAAAGTCGTTCGATTCTGCTTTGATAATTTACTGCGGACGAGCTTGACAATTTCATTAAGCTCGAATGTGCACGTTTCTATATAATCTCTTAAATTTTCGGCTTTCTTCAAAAGCTTATCAGTAACATCCATCGTCCAGTATAGTTTACTAACACAGAGAACAGTCTGCCCTGGCCATTGCAGAGCCCATTGGCTCCTAGCTTTAGTCGGAAAGGCATTTTTAGCTCGTATCACCTGAAGAGAAAAATCGAACCAATATATTTAATGATTTAATGTAAGACTTTCTTGTTATCGATTTTAATTAACCTGAGCCTTGACGCTTTTTTTCATATCAGTTTCAAGTTCAAGGAGCCATTTTTCCACTTGTCCTCGCGCAGCAGCCGTATCGATTATATCCTCGAGAATAATCACCTCCTCTTCAGATGATATCATATCTGTGGCCTCCTTGACTTCGGTAAATGTCAATTTTTCAATACCCTCGAAACACTTTTTCAAATGCGGCTGCACTCTGTAATCAAAATAAACAGTTACGAATTGAATATGTATAATAATCAGCATAATAAAGCATATATACCGCGTGGGATCCTTTGTCTCAGATAAAATTTCTAGAAGTTCATCGTTAGACAGAAAGAAAAATCGCGGAAAGAAGAGTCTCTTTTTCTCTAGATAAGCGACGAGTCCTTTCTGCACTAATTCAAGCAAAGTAGTACACCTTTTCAAGCGATCCAGCATCTTCTCGATATCGACAACGATCATAACTGCTGGATTAACCGCGACGATTGTCATAAGTTCTCTCCAAATCTATTTTGCGCATCATTTAAATTTGAAATTATTATAAATTTATATATATATATATATATATGTGTATATTTTTATGCGTATAAGTGATAACGAGGTAATTTACGTTACGAATAATTACGAACTTTATCTACGGCGATAAATCGTCGACTTTCCTCTGGCATCTGTTGCTGTATATCGGGCGATGTGAATATTGGTTCAAGATACATCCACGTTGCTTGAACTTCGAGCCAATAATCCATAATATCTTGTAACAAAAGTAACTTGGCTTCCCATTCTCTGATAAAATAACAAGATAATAGCATAGAATGATAAATGATCATGAACTTTATTTGACAATTAAAGTAGCAATTAAACTAAAAGAAATGAAATTTTTCTCTCCCCTCCCCCCCCCCTCCCTCTCTCTCTTTCTTTCTCTGTATAAAACAGTTATAAAAGTTTTGTAAACCTACAGAGTTTCTTTCTCAAATGGTTTTATGTAAATAGAATTCTTTATCGTTTGGGCTTTCGTTAGATGATCGTCGAGCAACATCTGTATCTCTTCTACACTGGCAATAACATATGTGCCAGTGTCTCGAAAAAGTATGACAGTAAAAGCGATATCCGTCCAATCCAAATGCATTTTGATTAAAGCCCTCTCCAAATTACCCTCTTTAGTAGCCGCCTCGGATATTGGATCAAATTTCGAGACATAGTCGCCTAGACCATAGTCGAGAATCTATATCGGACGTAAATACGATTATGATCTGTAACCAATGACAAGCTAGTTAGATTAGTCTTTACCTTGGCCAACGTCATGTATTCATCGACTTTTATCGGAAACCCAACAATTTCCGAAATCTGTTCCCAATGGCGACTTCTCAAGGAAGGATTCCCGAGAGTCAAGATTACCGGCATATGCTCTTTAAAATCTTCGATTTTTGTTCTTACGGTTTCTGCTAACTTTTTCACTATAGGTTCTTGAAAAGTTTTTTCCGACTTGTATATCAAACGATATGCATTGATCGTTTCAGTTTCAATATCTTCGGGATCATATGAGCCTATCATACTTTCGGTCCAATTTTCATAATTAGTTAAAAATTCACAGGCAATATCATAGAATTTTTTGTAGGGTGCCAACTTATCGGCTACCTAATTATCAATAAAAATAATATTATTCCTTCCGTATAAAAAAAATAACATGAGATAGAAAATGTAGATATAAAACATTGAATTTTTTGTATTTTTAAAATCATAAAAGCTTTGAACTTATGATAATTTCTATAATTTATTTATATCACTAGATTGCTTCAAAATATATGTGCTGATAAATGTGAATCGATAAAATTCAATCTTTATTGTATTACCTGTTTTCTTAAGGGATATTTTGTCATTTCCCATCCGAATAACCTTTCTTCATCGTTGAATTCTAAAATTGTTTCCATAGCAGTAATCAATTTTTCGTGGAGTCTCGTAGCTTTCTTTTTATATCGATGTATCTCCTCAATATTGCCCCAATATTGCAACTCGTTGCAATATTTCACATAAATCTCAAGATCCTGTTCAAATTTCTCGATTCTAGCTTTAAGTGATGCTTGATACTCGTCCGTTTTACTTTCAATTATTTCTCGATGCTTTTCGAAAATTTCAGGCATTGTGAGATACCTGAATGTACAAGAATTTCAATTATTTACATTATTTAAAAAATTTCTAGATATAATTAAACTTTTTTTCCTTTATATGTAATTATGTGAAACAATTCTTTGATATGTAATTATAAAACAAATTTTATTGCAAATTAAATTAATATAATTAAAACATGCTCTTACCAATAAAAAGCAAAATTATTTTTCTTCAACTCAACAGCTGTTAAAGGATGATAATCTGATAAAAATATTATATATTTCATTACTTCTTGCAATTGAGTTTCTAGTTCAAAAACAGTCTCCGTTTCAGATGTTTGTATAAAAGCCTGCAATTTCACAAGTTCTGACGTATTTGGCGGTATACGTAACGCTCGGTCTGCGATGTTTTGATAAATATCTCCTATACTAATAATTAAAAATTATTAGATAATAAAATTATTGTCACAATTTTTAGTCATTAAGTCACATTTACGAGAAACGTACGTTCGAACTTTTTGTTGATAATCAGCGACCATTTTTGAAATTAATTCACCTTTCAGTTGAGCAGCTGTAGATGCGAGATGTTCTATAATATAACGTCTGCGAACTTCAAAGAGATCAGTAAAAGATGTCCAATAAAACTCTAGTGGAATATTCTTGCTTAATTGATCATAATAATCAACGAGTTCGCAATATTTCTCGTACGGATTAGGTGGTTGGGTCTTTAGAAAGTTCCGAATATAATTGATGTCCTTATTATTTATTAAGTTCATATATTTATCGAACTCATGCAACTGCATTTCCGGATCAGTTTTATATTGTTCAATTAAATTTGATATGACATTCGCATGTTGCTCAAGAAGGTCTGGAGAAATCACTGGCTGCGAAAGCAAGTAGGAATTTAATAATTATAGTATTATAATATAACTTTATTAATAATTTTTAATCATTATATTGAGTACAATAATCAAATAATTATTGAAAATGATATTTTTGGTAATTATTTAATAATTTTATTTAAACATTATATGATATTTTTAACCCATTCAATATTATGTAAAATGTATACCTTGAGCAATTCAACGGAACTACTATCCGGATAAATCCACTTGAGTTTTATTTCCGCTCGTGGTAATGTTGTTACAGCATCATAAAGAGAATTCAGCAACATTGAAAGGCCGTTTGCAAATGCTTTGAATGTAGGATCAAAAACGATAGATGTGTTTCGTACCACAACGTTTATATTAAAGCCACAATTTGTGTACTATTTAAAATAATTGTATTTAATGTATTGGATCGAGATATACATTAAAAACAAATTTTTAATCGGACACCGTCTATCGGACAGTCTATAAAAATTATACTTACACCAACGTCCTTGAGGTAATTAATATAGTCTTCCATCGAACGTAAGCACAAGTTTCGCAGTTGATCTTCCATGACGTAGGCAAGGCAATTGAAGAATCTATTATATTGCGGAGTGTTCACAGATGGTAGAGTTCCCTTCTTCGAAGCCTATTGACGTAGAGATTTTGACATCAGGTACGAATTAATATCTATAAAAAATAATTTCTACCGCTTAAGGCTTAAGTTATACAGCGAATTTCTTACTATGAGTAAAATATTGCAAATCTTTGGCAACCACCGTTTGAGAAGATTGTCGCTCGTATCTTTAAGAAGTCTTAAGAATTTGTAATCAAATTTTGAAAGATCGTACGATTGTCTATACGACGTCAGCTCTCGTATGTCTATTTGTCTGGCCTCTCTATGAATTACGAGATTATACTGGACCAAAAATCATTTCATGTATAATAATATTCTGATGATATGTGCCATTTCAGTTTACTAACCCATATTCACGATACCAGTAATTTAAAGCTTTGCGTATGCACGGGTGATACAGCGTGATCGATATCTTCTCCAATTTTGTTCTTTTTTTTATATATTTAATACTGTGCTCCGGCGACAATTCGGCGATTTCTCGGGGGAGCAACGGCTGCAATGTGTAATCGGAATGTGTAATCGTAAAAAGCAATCGAGTGTAAAGAGCAGCGACCGTGGATTATTGGACAAAAGGGCATATTTTGTCGAATATCAGGCGCTCAAAATTTTATACTACTCGTGAAATAATACTTTCTCATATACCTATATTATGTGTCATTGCAGACATTTGGAGACGGTAGTGTCTCGGCGCTAAGACAAACGCAGCGACGTCATAGCGCGAGACCAACAGTCCTCCTTTATGCGATAATACTTACCGGAGCAAAGAGCACCTCCTCGAAGGGTTCCTGCAGCACAAAGTCAACGATAGACTTTTTCATGTTCGCAACATAGTCACTTTTTAATTCTCTAATCAATTGATTGAAACATTTCTTGTATTTCTTCTGCCATTCAGCGGACACCATGCTCGTTATCTTCTTTAACGTGTCAGAATCTAAGGTACCTGCGTGAATGTCGTCAACCTCATGAAGAATATAGTAATAATACCTCAAGAGATTCTTGTCATCCTCCGTGAGCCAAATGTTATCAATATCGTCGCTCAAAGGTGCTGTTGTTTGTCCGCAAATGTTATCATCGTCTAAAATCATACACTCCTTTGCACTACAAATTTCTATCTTGTCTTTGTTGCATTTCATCGGTCCTTTGATCTTCCTGATCAGATGCATCCGAAATTCAGTTCTCTTCTTACATAGTGACGTATAATAATCATCTTTGAAAGAAATTATTTTTTCGCTTTTCTTTTGTGCCATGGTGCTGCTTTAAATTTATTTAATAATTTTTTTTTTACAAAATTTGATATATACTTTATATGGAAAACAGAAATACGTAATCAAGCATTATAACGTATCTATAATGTTATACTTTGCAAGAAATAAACAATATTTTACGAACTGCTTACCTCGACGGAGCTTCACATTTTGGTGGCAAATTGAAAATCTCCGGTTTATCTTTAATATATTTTTTTAAACGATCATATGTCTTCCAATTCACGTGATAACTTTGGAAAAGTTTGGTATTTAGGCAATACATGTGAGAAGTGGATTTCATCCGATGTTTTTTACGATGAGATTTCCTAACGAATGACTCCTCACTTTGCTTTGCCAATCCTGTGCACGATTCCGATTTACAAATGTCAATTCCTTCGTCGCTTTTATCTTGCTCTATAATTTCTTCCTTGCTTTGACTTCTATCTTTTTCTTGTATACAACGCAGGTTCTCCATCGTGTAATCTCAAACCTTTACTTTCTTTTTATCAGAATTGTCACACTAATGTAAATTTTAGGACATTGAGTGTGTACGTGATTTGAACAGAAAATCATAAAATAAATCATTCAATCTTTTCCTTTACGGTACAACTTTACCGTTTCACTTGCTTTATAAGGGTTACGTTACCATAGCAGTCACAATAACATGGAGACGTGTTACGTCAAGCCACGTCAATCGTACATAAATCTGCCTGTATTCAGAACGCTCTTTTATCGATAAATACATTTTTATACCTGAAATTCTATAGTATACATGTAACATGAACTAGTACTAAATATAATACGCTAATATCGTAAAAGTGCGTTCTAAATATAGTGCGATATCTTTACTGTTGTTTGTTGATGATATAAGAATTGTTAACGTAATAATGCAATACGCATTGATAACGCAAAAAATAATTGAAAACGAGCATTTGTGCAAAAACAAAAAATCCATTCTGGGAAATACACATTTAATAAAGAAATGAAGGCTGAAGGATGTAAAAAAAATAATATGATAGATATCTGTTCCTTTTAACATAAATATTTATTATATATTTATATATGTGTGTGTGTGTGTGTGACATCGTTTTCAGAATAATACTTTCATAAGTGTAGTGAATCTGTCGATGATATAATCTGATAGTTTGATATCTGTCAATGGCCGCTAGCTTGCGACTTTGCGGCACCGAAGATATGAAGATAACGATGCAATATAATACATTTCCTTTATATATTGAATATTTCGCGAAATATAAAGTTTAACGCAAAATATAAAGTTTATCGCGATATTAAATTTTATATATCTGTATTTATATAACGTATATATAGTATATATATATGTATATATATATGTACATATATTACGACAATTCACACACATTTGATTGTCACTCGTCTCTGATACATATAGTACACTGTTGATCCCTCTATACATCTAAATAGGCAACGTGAAGTATTAATTCTTTCTTTATTCCAGGAATATGCGAACGAGAATTCAGTTCAGCAAATTATCAGGGACAATTTGCTAAGTGTGTGTGTGTGTGTGTGTGTGTGTGTGTGTGTGTGTGTGTGCTCGTTCACGCGCGCGCACGTGTATATGTATATGTGTGTGCAAAAAAAAATAAACATATTGGACCCCCGCAACCTCCTAGCATGCCCCTTGCACACTATGATCGGAATTAAAATATGCACATATAGACGAACGATTAAGAGCGTAAAGGCGACGCTTTAAAGGGAGAAAAGCACCCGTTTTTGTTAGCTTTTGCCAGTGAAAATATGTGGGCGGCACATGCTCCGCAACGGCGATTCGTGGCCAAAACGAGGACCGCGTGGATATATTGATTTCCTTTCCGACACCTTTTCGATGTTTCAACGTCGAAATATAGTCGTCACCGTTTATATACGCGGTAGTGACACGTTACACAGGGATAAACCATAAACGATTTAAATTGTCCTTTCTTTTGACATATAGTAGAGAATATTCACAAACTACTTTTGCGAAAAAGGATAAATGTCGAGGATGCTTGTCTCGGCATTTTTTCGAATCAATTACTTGTAAAATCAAATTTTCCATCAGGATAAACATAGATTGGTTTGAATAATATTTATTGGGAAAAATTTGTGTATTCTGTTTCGAAGAAAATTACTATCGCAAGTATATCGTGTTTTCTTTGGCAGTACCCTGTGTAACGATGTAATAGTACAATTATATCTAACGGCTTATATATCTAATGTTGATTGACACAGGTACATTCAATGTGAGTACAAACAGCGTTTTGAGAACGTAATCAATTAATTAATGAAATTAATCTTTGCAACTGATTAATTTCTTTATTACGCAATTCGCGCCCAAGTAATCTTTTCCGTAATCTTAACGAGGTTTTGCAGATTCAGGAAGAGTAAAATAAATATGATAATGCTACTCACACACATCTACATTTCTGATGATAACATATATGTATTGATACTTCCATACCAACGGTATTGATCCGGTTCTCCTGTGCCTAACAAGCAATAGTGTTACGGTTGCTTATCTAAGCAACGAAACCCTCTTTGATAATTTTCAAGCCAAAACTATATATTGACGACATCACGGAACACGGTACATTTGACTAATTCGCTTGTTTGACATTCTATGACACATAAATACACGTAAAATGTATAGTTTAATATAAATTTTTCTAATTATATTCACACATGCATTATTGCTATGCTTGATAATGCTTTCAAACTTGAAAACAGATGTAATTAGATGTAAATATTTCTGAATTAATTGAAAAATCGTGTATATTCTTTTTAAATATATTTAACAAATTATAAATCGATAAGTTAAAATATGTTACGTGATATAATATTCTGTTAGGATATAATATACAAAAAATCTTTTTACACAATTTAAAATATCCGATATGTCAAATTTCATTCATCTCATAAACCTTGACGGTATAATACGCGTCATCATCTCTTTCTAACTTTTTCTTATATTTTGATATTTATAAATTCCAATATTTAATCTTTCAACTTTTATATAATATAAAATTAGCATATACACATCATCACTTTGTTAGCTTAGAGAAAAATATAAAAACATTAAACTCGAAACATTTCATGTTGTATTTAATTGTATATAAAAATTCCATTTTTATACGTTAGATCAAAGTAAGTTTTATATTGCAAAGAATGCGAGAGGAACTATCTGTCACGCGGCATTATTGCCAAGATGCTCATTTGAGAAACTTATAGAATTGGAAGGCATAAAATGACACATACTTTGAGTTGAATAAAATAAGGAATTAACTATTATATTTGCCGTATTTTTCTTTTTCTTTTTTTTTTTTCAAATTACTCTATAAAGCGTCTGCCTTAAAATAAAGTACATGAGCCACTTCCAATTATACTTACAGTTACCTCTGCCATTGAACACTAATATAGCTTCTTTCACGCTCGGCTGCACAGCAGCCACAGCAGATTAAACTCTCGTCTTTCTTCACAAGACATTAGGAAAATTAATAATCAGGGTTTATATCGACACTGACGATTTATATACCATATTGCAGTAGTCTCCATTGTTTACACGCAATTAATGGCAATTAATACCTTTCTGAACGACGTATTCTACTTTAGCCAGATTTAGAAAGCGAGATTTAGAAAGCTGCACCGATTTTCAGATAGATACGCAATGTCTTTAATTGTACGAGAGACGCGATTCAAGATACGAATTGACAATGGAAAAAACTTGATCTTATTTTGTTTATTTGTTTGCTTGTGACAAGCTCGCACGACGGAACGGAAAATCCGGTGAGTCATCGAACGGTTAAGGTCTTGTGAAGCGATACCGGTACGGAGTCCAGGCGAACAGTTCTAAGGGAAAAGAACAAATATCCATTGTGTATCCATCATTAACTTGACACATCTTCTAATTAACTTTTAACATGCAAGTGGTACTAGCGCGAAGAACGTCACTATACGAGTAATCTCGTCGTTTACGTGCTGCTTGGGGTGCAAAATTAACATGCACTCTGAAAACGCTCAGCTCGCTTGTGTTCGAAAATAAAGTATTTCTCCTGCTTCTTGAACTGATAATTAACTTCCGCTCTCTATCCTCAGTCTGCAGTCTGTTTCGACGCAAGCTGCCGTTTCCAGTTGCGCTTACTACTCCGATGATGAAACATGCCAGATTGCTATGGATCCGTTAATTGATTTACATAAATGTTCAGGTAAAGAAATTTAAATATACTGTAGTATCATCTAATATGGATTTGCACATGACAGTGATCGAAAGATCTTGCGAGGTAAGCGCGCATTGCAACAAGACAGAACGTCCGATGATGAATGTTGCAAACATCTATACATTGAAGGATCGTAACGAATAATTGGATGATTTACTGAATGATTACTGAATGAGTACCGAACGATTCGACGGCAATCGGTCATTGTTTCATATGAGAGATAATAGAATAAATTGAAGTGTATAAAGATCGAAGAATATTGTTCTTCGTTAATTAGGCGGAGAAATTAGAACGATCGCTTTGATCGCTATTCGAATTGATCGGTCGATGTGATCGACTAGTTTTTCATCTACCTGTAGGTGATATATGGGAGGATGTCTGCAGTCTGATCGATGATGATGCGATATGACGATGAGAGAGCACGATGCAAAACTACTTGTTTGTAAAGGAGGCTGGTAATAGCGTGGCGGCAGTCACTACATGAATCGCTCTATGATTTACCATGGTTAGTGAAGCACGGGCAAAGCGCATTCAGAATACGATTGCAGAATCCACGCGCTCGATTGTTCCAGCCAGCGATGGTATCGCCACCCTTCAATCTACTACCTGCGCACACACACGAATAGCCAGTATGTTATAAATATCAATCTCAAAAGGTAATTATAATTGCGCCATGTTCTACTTTGCAAGTAGCTCTACGGGGTGTCCCACCCAACTTGATCATCTGAAATATCTCCGTTGTCTATTGATGGCACGAGAAAATATGTAAGAAAGAAAAAAATGTCAAAGAAAACAACAAAGTTAACGACTGTATTTAATAAAAAATCAAATAATTAACTTATAAATAAAGAAAATGTTTAGCTTGTAAACATCTTATTTATAATCTTGACTGTGTCTACACAATCATTTTTTATTCTCATATTTTCCCATATTGTGTACAGAGATATTACGCGAAGCATATTTCTATTCGTCAATTCAAATATGCGTCTATTGAATAAATTATACTTATTTAATGATTATCTACGTGTTCATCTATAAATTTCTTCAATTATCTCTAGCAATCTAGCCGTCTATACTTTCAAACTATTATCTGTTTGATCTTCTCGCATACCTACTTTTTTCCTCTACCTTTCCAGAACATAAAATATTTACCATTTTATTTATATCCACCTTCTCTCCCTTCGTTATAGCCGACGTGAGTCAATTAAGAATGTTTCCATCCCGTATAAATTAGAACATTTAAACA